TCAGTGGCATTTATGAAACATCTGCTTGTAGCCCTGAACCAAACACGTACTGACTTTTTTCAGATTACTGGAAGAACAATTCTATTAATTGGACCAATTAAAGATCTTTCAGAACTATACTTCAGCAGTGTGAACACAGCTCCAGTGTTCAGAACTAGCATTTAACAATGACATAAGAAGTCACTTTCCCAGCCCTCGGTGGAGTGTCCTGCACCAAGAGAGTCTGATCTCAGTATTTGTAGAAGTCTATAGAGAAAATTAGGTCAATGATCTAGCTGCAGCGTTCAGAATTCATGCAGGATCACAAATTGTTTTATACCATTTTCTGCTAGCAATTTCCCTTATCTTTCTCCAGGTATGGTCTCAGTCAAGTGACAGTGTATCTGGGCCGGCAGAGACAGGTGGGCTCTAACCCCCACGAAGTGTCCAGGAAGGTGTCACAGTTCATTTTGCACCCTGAATCTTACTATTCGAATTTGGAGAACAACATCGCTCTGGTGAAACTGAGCAGCCCCGTCACCTTCACTGCTTACATCCAGCCCATCTGTCTGGCAGAAAACAGCAGCTCCTTCTTCACTGGGACCAGCTGCTGGGTCGCAGGCTGGGGATACACTGGCGGAAACTGTGAGTTTATCTCCTTGATTAAAAGTCTACTTGACGGATGTGCTTGTTACAGTATGTCGTCCTCAAACACATAGTGTCTTGCACTTGCAGCGTGTGAAAAGATGATAGGTCTGTGTTTCTGCAGTGACTCAACTGGTCAAAATGTTCTTCCAAGCACAGGCTGGGCTCTGTGACTGTGGCTCCCAGCAGCTGTCGACTCAGTTCACTAAGTGTCATTGACCTAGGGTAGGATGGGTCAGCACGGTGTTTCTCGGGTCCTGGTGACATTGGGGAGGAAGCAACAACCTGCACTCAAATGGGCAGGCCAGAATACTTTCTCATTCTCCCTGTGTTTAGTTGTAGGGTTTGTAGTTGTGAGCAGACATGAGCTTTTCCAGTATTCTGTGTTATTGTGTGATAACTGGATGCTTCACAATATCTCTAACATTTTTAAAGTACCACAGAGATGTTCTAAATAAATGTGGTCATCCTGTGGTATGTTAAACTTTATTGAGTGAGATCCCAAAAGGAAATATTAGTTTTGTCACATTCAACTCATGACATTTAACAGAAATTCAAGAGGAGGTCAAATTCTAGTCTTGTACTCCCTCCACCTTAACTTCACTCTTATAGCTGTCTCCCTGCTTCATTCCTGCAAGTGAGGGAGGTTTTTAAAGCGCTGATCTTACCAGAGATAATGCAAAAACTAAAAAGTACACTATCCCTTTATATGCCATTGTCTCAGTTCATCATTATAAGAATTAGAATGAACAGCTGCTGGGATACTGTTACTGTTAGACTGGGTAGGTGGGAGATGCCTTAAAGAAGGAAGAATTGGGTAATAGCAATCAGCCATCTATTTCAGACACTGTTTGGGATCTCTCTTGTCTTCCAGCACCTCTGTCTGGGAACCAGACCCTCCAGGAGGTCCAGCTGCCTATCATTGGGAACGGAGAGTGTGGCTGTGCCAGCAGCCTGACCTATGGAAGGAACGTTGTCACTGACCGCATGATCTGTGCTGGAGTGCTTGGAGACTGGAAGGGCCCCTGCTATGTACGAACACTTGCTGCTCCTTGTGTTTTCCATCATCTTATTCCTCCCCTCCTCTGTTCCTCTTTTCCTGTTTCTAACTCAGGGGGTGTCCCAATTCTTGCACTGTGCCATCAGCCCTTCCTCCAAGTCTGCACTTGTATGATGTAGTGTGAGTGTAGATTTCAAGTGTGTGAGTCTTCACTGTTATAAACACGGTGATGGGACACCCTTGGGTAAAGTCTCTTGCTGGTCACATGAGTCAAACTCCTGTCTGTTGATACTACTAAAGCTTTGTACTATAAAATACATATAATCTCGTCTGTCCCAGTACAGAAACAACAGTACGAGGAATATAGCGCGTTCATTCACATTCATTCCCAGCATAGTAAATGAGATAAACTTGGCCACACCTCAAAGCTTTGTACTATTTCATATTCCATTAACAAAACACTCTGCAGGTAAATTAATATTCATCAGTCTAAATGAGGTGATGAACTAAAAGCTTTATGTCAAAACTTTGTAACAAGAATACATACAGTATGAATCTAAAGTAGCTTAATGAGATTTTGTTTTTACATAAAATGAGTTTTACATTTACGAACACTAACTCTACTCCATGAGGAATTAGGGGTGATTCCCTTCAGGGGAGTCAACTCTGATGCAGACTTCAGAGAAGGGAGCATTAAGGGCCCATGGAGGGCGCTCCTGAGCACTCTTGTGAAACACAAATATAGAAATGGGGCACCCCGAGCCCTTGCAGACTTGAGCAGGAACGTGCACATGAAGGAGGCAAGACCACGAGTGTGGGTATTGTCACACGGCCTTGCTGAAGTTCCAGTGTTGTGGGACCATCAGTCTTCATCTTGTCCTTCTTCTCAGAGACTCTCAGTCTCTCTATTAAAGCATTCTGACAGTGCGTCTTCACCTCTGAGTCTCTCCCTGCATGTTCATACACCGTAGTAAGTGAGTAAGTGTGTAATAACCTGCCTATGTTTCTCTCTCTCAGGGAGATTCAGGGGGTCCACTGGTCTGTAAGCAGGGCTCTGCCTGGGTACAAGCTGGTATTGTGAGCTATGAATGTTACCAGTCCAGTTTTCCCTGGATTTACACCAGAGTCTCCTGGTTCCAGGAGTGGATTAATGGAGTGGTGGGGTCGGCTTCTTCTCCAGGTTATGTGACCTTCACATCCAGTGGCACAGACTCTGACAATTATAACTGTAGTCTGTTCTCTACAACGACACCTCCACCAACTAATACACTGCCAACTACCTTAACACCTTTTGGTAGGTCAGAGTTCGATTCATTTGTTCAGAAAATAGCGGACTCAGACATCAATCACTTATCTTTCCTGTCGTCTTCTTCCTCTAGTCTGTGGTCAGGCGCCCCTCAGTCCCAGGATCGTTGGGGGTGAGTCAGCGCAGGCGGGGTACTGGCCCTGGCAGGCCAGCCTGCACTGGAATGGGACCCACACTTGTGGGGGGACTCTGATCAACATTGAGTGGGTGCTGTCAGCTGCTCACTGCTTTGGAAGGTAGGACAGAAACAGGACTCCCTTTCTCGGTATGTACAGTGCTGACAATAACTGAGATTGTGACGGCTGTGGATTCAGGTCCAAGGATGAGGAAAACACTGACGGTTTCAGTCACTAAAAACTGAACCACTCACAGTGTAACAGTGGTGTTTTATACCATATCAGTTTACAGAGTGATCACTGCAGATTGACGCTGCTCACAGTGTAACAGTGGTGATTTATACCATATCAGTTTACAGAGTGAT